TGCGAGGTTCGTGTTGCCACATGTGAATACGTGTGTTAGCACACTCACAGGGTGTGCAGCAATGCTAGCTTATCTTCTCCCACAAGACTAGAACTTTTAACCTAGCTCAGAATGGAGCATGACACTGTATTTTTGCCTCTGCCGGTGTTGCTTTTGTTTCTTAAAAAGTATTCTTCTTTCCAATACAGTACTAAATTGGACAAATGTTTTAAAGTTTGATGATGACATTCCTTTCATGAGAATTCATATCTTGAGCTGGAGTTATCTTTGACTTTCATGCATTCACTCATCTCTTCAATAAATATTCACGGAGCATGTCCTTCTCCGGGCCAGGCAGTGAACCAGGTACAGGTGCGGCGGGTACAGAGATGGACTCAGCCCTGGCCCTCAAGAAGTCCGGAGTTTGATGGAACAGTAAAGAAACCATTGCAATGCAAGCTGATGGGTGAGACCAGGGAGGGACTTGGGAATCTGTTAGAGTACGAGGAGGGGCACCTAATCCCGACCATGCGGGAAGCAGTGAGGCCCAGGTGAGGCTACAAGGATAACTGGCAGTTGGCCCACAGAAGCAGGGGCCCCAGGTATTCCTGAAAGAAGAGTGGCTCATGCACCTGAACCAGCCTTTTCAGGAACTGCGAGTGTTACGAAAAGGGATGGGGGAGAGTGCTGAGAAGGGGAGGGTTTACACCAAGCCTGTTTGTAGAGGATAGGGACAGTGACGTGGTGAGATTCACATTACCCAGGGTGCACCGGAAGGACTGAGACAGGAGGCAGTGGAAACAGGCAGGAGGCCGCTGCTGGAACCCAGCGTAGAATCAGTGATCTAAGACCTCGGCCATGGAAGACCGGATGGAAAGGACAGGGCGGATATTTAGGAAAAAGGCCCACACAGTAACTGGGTTTGCAAGAAGAAAAGGGAGACTGGGATGACTCCTGTGGTTCTGGCTGGGACAATCAAGGGCCCTTACTGCAGAGAGAGGAGCAGGTGGAAGCCGTGGGGGTGGCACGAGGGATGAACTAGTCTTTGGCAAACTGAATCTGAGATACTGGAGGCGCCATGGAGGAGGTGGGGACAGAGGCAGGAGGGTGAGCTGGGCTGGAGATCCAAGGACGTGACTGCAGCCAGTGTGCACAGTATGGAGGATGCAGTCAGCCTGCCAGGAACACGTGCAAGGGGAGAGCGGCCGTGCTGGGTCCAAGGCTGCCCCGAATGCAACCTGCAGTGGGAGAGGAGCCCAGAGGACCAGCCAGTCCACAGGGCCCTGTGGGGGAAGCCAGCGGTCAAGAGGGTCTCCCCGAGGGGTCGGCACAGGCTCCACAGAGGGATCAAAGAAAACAAAGATCAAAATTTTTTGATGGGGTTTAGCCCCTGGGAGGCCCTCGAGGACCTTGGCCAGAGTATTTCCCGCGTAGGGTGTGGACCCCAGCCAGGCTGCCGGCTGAGGGGTGAGCAGGGGTAGGAAATAAGGGCGCACTCGGATTCCCTTTGTGATTCTTGGCTGCGGCGGGCAGGAGGAACACCGGTGGGACTGACAAGGCGGGCGTGAGACTGAAGGTGGCGCGGGTCTAAATGGGACGGAGCTGAACGTGCGTGCGTGCCCGAGGGAGCAAGCCGCTGGGGGGGAGTTGCGCAGGAGTGGAGAGCTAGCGGACCGGGCCGGCGGGGTGCGGAGGGCATTGGCGGGCTGGCGTCTGCGCCCTCGTGAACGCGAAGGCCGGGAGTGCCGGAAGCCAGGGAAGACCTCGTGGACGAAAGTGGAGGGACTTGACAGCGCTGAGCGAAGCATGTAAAAGACGAGCGCAGTGCCGGGCCGGAGACCCTCGGCCCGGAGCAGCCGCGCGCACCCCGGAGCGACCTCCGCGCCCGGCGGCCGCTCCGGGGGCATCTCGGTAAAGAACAGGAGCCGGTCCCCGCCTTCGTTCGTCCCTCCGCTACGATGCCAAGGTGGAGGCCACCGTGTCTTCTAGAAAAGTGGGAGTGCTGCTTGGGAGAACTGCACGGGAGAAACGGGGGCTGGCGGTAAAGACGGGAGGCTGGGGAGGCAGCGGCGTGGGTGAGCTGGAATCGTCTAGAAGCGGAGCGGAACAAAGGCGGTGTGACTGGTGCGCCTCCCGGAGATCCTCCTCCCTGATAGAATATGCATGACCGTGCGCGAGTCCTCGCCCGCCCCGGCGCGGGAGGCGTCGGCGGACGCGGGGCGCGCGCCCAGACGCGCTCTGCGGGCGCGGGTGCGAGGGAGCCACGCGGCGCGGGCCAGCGTGCGAGCGCCCCGGCCGGGCTCCGTCACGGGCCAGCTCCCCGAGCTCTCCAGCACCGGTAGCGCCTCCCTGTGGTGCCCCGCGGCCAGCTCCCCTTCCCCTCCCTTTCCCCTCGCGCAGCCCGGGCCGGGGCGGGGGCGCGCGTCCCGCGGCGTTGGCAGAGCGCGGTGCGAGCCGGCCCGGCAGGCGCCCCCCGCCGCCCCGTGGGACCCGGCGGCGCGCTCCGTCCCTCCGCCCCGTCGGCCTCCGCGCGGGCTCCGGGCCGAGCGCGCCGCCCCCTCGGGGTCCCCGCTGGGCGGGGCCGCGCGAGGTTGGAGTGCGGGCGCGGGGACGCGGGCGAGCGCGGGCGCAGCGCCACCCGGCTGTCTGCAGCGGAGCTCGGCGCCCTCGCCCCCCGGTCCGTTCGTCGTGCGGTATTTACCCAGCGGATCTTTAAAATAATCACATTTTTAAAAGCACTTTGCTCCGCGCGTCTCCCTCACGGCCGCGTTAGTCGGGAGTGTGCGGCGGGCGGGGGGAGAAGCGGCTCCGCTCCGGTCGGAAAACACCGAGAGACCAGCCCGGCTCTCTCGGCAGCGAGGAGGAGAAGCCGTCGCGGGCCCCGGCGACACCTGCACGTCCCGGTCGCGTTGCGCGCACGTCCCTGACTGTGCCCGACGTCCCTCGAGCGGGCAGGCATGGGGTGTCTGGGCAACAGCAAGACGCCGGAAGACCAGGGCGTCGACGAGAAAGAACGACGCGAGGCCAACAAGAAGATCGAGAAGCAGCTGCAGAAGGAGCGCCTGGCGTACAAGGCGACTCACCGCCTGCTGCTCCTGGGTAAGGCCGGCGCGGCTCCGGCCTCGGCGGGGCGCAGGTCCCGGGACGCGGCTCACAGCGTTGTTCTCGTTTGCTTGCAGGGGCCGGCGAGTCGGGGAAAAGCACCATCGTCAAGCAGATGAGGATCCTGCACGTGAACGGCTTTAACCCCGAGTAAGAGCGATCGGTCTGGGTTCTGCCTCCAAACTGCATGCGCTGCCCCTTCCTTCCCGGCCTTCCCGGAATTCGCTTGGTAACTGAGTAGACCTTCGAAGGGAGAAAAATAGATGTGAGCTGTGGGATTTGGTCCATTGGGGCAAATCCTTCTCTGGCGCTGACTAGTTTGAAAAATAACTTGCTTAGCTAAATATGATCTGCTAGATACTCTTGGAGTATCGGTCTGTTTTACTGGTGTTGCTCTGAGCACACTTAATATGTCAATATATATTTTTAATATCTTTGTTGCACGTGTTTCAGTTTATAATAGCAACAGATTTAAGTAAAACATATTTACAAGTATAACTATAGTTGTACTTATGTGCAATATCCATAGCGATTTTGCCATTGCTTTTCTAACAAAATGGGATTATTTAAAGCTGTGGGTTATAAAATGTGTGCACTCAAGTTTGTTTAGAGTACAGATTAGAAAAGAGGGATATTTTCCTTTCCCAGATAAAACTTGTACAGGTGTTGTCTTGGAGGTTGGTATTGACCTCTTGTGAAACCAGTCCTGCTCAGTGCTGCAGCAGGAAAGGTAAAATCCCACTCAGTTGACTGGAATCAGTGCTAAGGGTAAATTAAGCTAATAACAGTTCTCTTTCAATACAGGGAAAAGAAACAGAAAATTCTAGACATTCGGAAAAATGTTAAAGATGCCATTGTGGTAAGGACCTTTTTCGTGTTTGTTTACTAGAAAGTTTATTTAAATCGTGTAGACAGAGATGTATTTTAGAGTATGTATTTTGGAGCCTAAATCCACGTTTTTTTCTTCACCCCATTAAGACGATTGTTTCGGCAATGAGTACTATCATCCCTCCGGTTCCTCTGGCCAACCCTGAAAACCAGTTTCGATCAGACTATATCAAGAGCATAGCCCCTATCACTGACTTTGAATATTCCCAGGTAAGTAAATCCTTACGGAAGTATTTTAAATAGTGAAAGATGGAAACAATTTTAATGAGGTTACATATTGAGAATCAATGTTAATACTAATTCATTATCAACTTTGTTCAAGATCTAACTCTTTAAATGCCGAAGAGGAATGCTTTTTCTGTACCAAAATGTTTGTGTTTGTTAAAAATACTAAAGACAACAAGATTATCAGAAATGCTTTTTCGAATCTATGGGGTAAGGCTGATAATGAGGAATACTGCATACCTTTAAGAAATGTTGATAGTGCCTTTGTCCTGGGTGTATTCTTAAATTAACAATTCAGCATTTGCCAGATAACAACAGTAAAAATTACATGAGTAGAGAAAAATGCTTAGGGTAGGTCATCTTCTCCATGGGATTAACAGAAAGAACAAAATTCAGTTTACTCTTAAGATGTGCATCCTTCAGAACAAATGAGAAAACAATACATTGTATAAAAATAATAGCATGGCTCACTTCTCAATGTTCACTTATCATGTTAAAATGCAGTTTGGTTCGCATCTGCATTATTTAGGGCTGCTTTCCTGATCACTTGGGTGGCAGTGTGGCTTATGCAAAAGGGCGCTGTCAATATTAGTTTTCTCTCATTTGAAGAATATACATATCTTAACGGTATTATTATTTGGTAATTTTATTAAAGCATGTTTCAAAGGAAAATTATTTGTTAGATTTCTCAGAAAGTCATTTTTGTTACAGTGCACCAAAAGAGCATGTCTCTACGTGTGTGTATACACATCAGTAGCAGTATTTCAAAATTTGTACTGCCTGGCATGGTGGTTCGGGGATATTTTTCATTCTAGAATCCTCTCTGGGTAGCTGAGCCTGCGCTGAAACCAGTGTGTGAAGCAGAGGCCCTCCCTGCCTGCCTGCGAGGCTGGGGTGCACCTGCTTGCCCACCCCTTCTCTTCCGCAGAGCACCTTGTCCCATGGGCTCTGTGTTGGGACGGTGATAAGAATGACTTTTTAAAAAAACCTTCATTTGCGTCATTTAATGTGATTTTTGCTTCTGATAAGCATTCCAGGGTAGCTAGTGATATCTCTAGAACTTCTAGAAAAGAGTGTGGGTGGCACACCGGCTGAAACGAGGGGGCTAGGGCGTCTGGTCTGGTGGGCACACTGGTTTTACTAAATGGTGTCTTTAGCTGGGTATCTTGGAGAGGGACAAGGAGACGATGTGGCAGGGGGAGGGGTGGGCCGGAGCCTGGCTCCGGCCACACCGGAAGCCCCTGCTAACTGGAGCTGTAGGATGTGCTCTGTCCCGCTGAGATTATGCGTACTAAGAAATCACCCAGAACTACACAGGCCTGGTTGAAATCGGGAGTGGCATTCCCTTCCAACCTCAGAACAGACATTTACACACGAGTATTTGAGTTCTCAAATCTGTCCTGTTGTGTGTGTCTAAAGGTAATTATGAAATATCTCATATTTTCATATATCTCATATATCACTTCTAGTGAGAAAGTGAAATTAAGATTTATTAATCAGTCCCATGTCCTCTTTCTCCTGTTCAGGACAAACTCACAGATGATAAGGGATTCAATATTCAACTCAAAATTCAGAAAAAATTGGTAACTCCCACATGTATTATCTGAGGAATCCAAAGCACCTACTTTGCAAAAATGTTTCTTAAGCTAAATAGTGAATATTTTTAATTTAAAAAAACTTGAGAAACCATTTCCTTTGAATGCATGTATTTTTATAGAGGTAATTTAAGGTTACTTAAAAATGGTTATCAGAAACCATTGTTAAATATCAGTAAAATAAAAGAATTTCACACCAGCAGATCCAAATGTAATTATAATGCTCTTTCAGAGGTAGTTCTCTTTTGGGGTAGTTTTACTGGTGTTTTTCAGTCCTAACATGCTGTTGTCTTATATGTCTGTGGTCATGTCAAATGAGAATATGTTTTATTTATTATGTAGCCCAGACTTACGTAAGGAAATTAATATTAAATATATAGTGTTCCTTCTGAAATGCTATTTTTATTTTAATATGCATACAATTTTAGTGAAGTTTATTCCCTAGGGCTTAGAAATATTTATTATTTCATTAGATTGTATAGTTCTTAGATTCACATTTTGATGATCCTCACTAAAAATGACGGCAGGACAACTCTGACTTACATATGAATAATACTTGGTACGTTGAAGAAAACTAATTCTAATTTAAAGTATTTAGTTTTTATTTTATGTACTCTACCTAAAGGAACGCCTATTTTTGTAAACGTTATAAAAGTAGATCTAAGTTGAATATTTTAATGGGAAACATAGCAGGATTTTACTAAATCGAATATTTTTTTGAGGTTGAATCCTTGAGAAATTCTGTCAGTGTCACAGTCCAAGTATTTGAGAGTCTTCAGTTTATTTTCCTATAGGCATAAAATAACTTCTGAAACAAATATATTCTGTCATTAAAAATTGATTTCGGGCCGGGCGCGGTGGCTCACGCCTGTAATCCTACCTCTCTGGGAGGCCGAGGTGGGCGGATTGTTTGAGCTCAGGAGTTCGAAACCAGCCTGAGCAAGAGCGAGACCCTGTCTCTACTAAAAAT